TAAGTACTGCAACTTGACCTTTTGTCACTACAAAAAGCTGCTTACCACAGCTAATCTTGCACAATTGGAGCAACCAACTATTATGTCAACCAAGATAATCTTGCACAAATGGAGTACAAACTTAAACCGTCACTGACGTGGCATGCCAACATGTACTATGTACCATCTCCTGTCGTGTCTTGCTGATCATTTCCCTCTAATTGCAGTAGTTGGTGGCTTATACTTATCCCCCTTTTTTTTGCCATTAACAACAGGTGATGTTCATTTCACTCCAGCGGATAAGCTTGATCGATGTGGATTAGCACTCATTCGTGCATCTTGCCAGTCTGGCTAATTAATCAGTCGATCGGCTGCAAATTAAGAGTTTGGTGTGGTAGATTTACTTGCTTTTCAGACGACGCGTTAATTAATTAATCACCCTCCTAACTGCGCACTTGGCCACTTAATTAATCCCGTTTTTATCAACGCTAATTAACATTTCATGTGCCATGATTAGGAAAGCTAGGCTCAATTAATGCATAACTTTGTTATCTGGTGGTTGGATGCATGCATCCCTGTGCTGGTTTCCTACGTATGGCCGTATCTGGAAAGTTTGACGTCGAATTGAAAATGTCATTTGTGGAAAGTGCCATTGATTAAGAGGAGATTATATGACCTGATGACTAGTTTAATTAATTGTTTCTGAATGATCAACAGAGATTCGTAATGGTGCAGCTTGTAGTTCTTTTAAGAAATATTGGTGATCGATTTCGAGATGCACGTCACCGTCCTTTAATCACACATCTGAGGTATAGTATCTTTAATTATTAGTGATCTTTAACAAGAGTGAGTGTCATTGCAGATATGGTGCTGCCATTATTATCAATCATATGGACATGACTCCACGGCTAATGGTAAACCAGCTACCACTCTATCCACCTATACTTCAAATAAAATTTTCTTTTAAACTACTCATCCGATCTACGATCCGATTACACCGTTATGTTCGTAATAATTAAATCTTTATAACAAGATCTCACATGATTATATTTTAATGAAAAATCACAAATTACTTTTATGATATGTCTAAATTACTTTTAGATTTCACTAAGTTACTTCTTAGACATATAAAAGTAAATTCAGCAAAGCCTAAAGGTAATTTACATATATTATAGAAGTAACTTAGAACAAAAGAAAGTAACTTTAATACATGCATTTTTCATTGGACATGATTACACAGCTAGTCGTAGCTGGTTTATACTTCATCTAGTGTCTTCTTTCAACTTGAAAAATGCAATAGTATATATCTTATGTATGTTGAAGTTAACATTAAACTTACTTTTAAAATTTGTTAAACTTATGTGTGTTGATTTGTACTGATTAAATAAAGTTTTCTATATAAATTCATATTTTATCCCTACAATGAATTTACTTCTAATGTCGTGACAAAGTTACTTCCGTTTTGTTTTAAGTTACTTTTATAATATATATAAATTACTTTTAGACTTTATTAAATTTACTTTTTATATGTCTAAGAAGTAATTTAGTCAAATCTAAAAGTAACTTATATATATATATATATGATAAAAGTAACTTACGTATATAATAAAAGTAATTTACAAATATAAATATTTTTTCATCGTAATATAATCATGTAAAATCTTGTTGTGAAGATTTAATTGTAACGAACACAATGGTGTAATTGGATTGTAGATCGGATAAGTAATTTGAGAGAAAATTTTATTTGAAGAGAAAAAAGGCGTACATGTCTATCTTAGTCCTTCCTGCTACGTGGGTGTGTCAGTCTCTCTGCAGTCAGTCAAGTACTAGTGGAGAAAGCGATAACGTAAGCCGAAAATGAATAGATAACGAGATCGTACGGTCGAAGGTGCGTCGCGCGATTAGACTAAAATGAAAGCGCGCACTGTTTAGATTTTACGCAATCATATAGGTCTGATTCGGATCGGATAAGTGTATGACATGCAGCTGGTTGTTTGGTCAGAAACAATGTGTTTGATCGAATATAAAACTACAATATTTCTCTTGATAATATTTGAAAAATAAAAATTATTTTCGGTCTCCGCAGCTATGCACGCAACCTCAAGTTGTAATTATATACGTATATATATCCAAGTATACCAGCTATCGGCGTTATACGAAACCACATCCCTTCCGAAATCCATAAATATGGTCTATTTTGATTGGGTTCAATAATACGGAGTAATATATTAATATTGGTGAGGTTATGATTAGTTGGAATGGCTTATGGCTATCTTGTAGCTAGAGTTGCTACACGATAGCTCTATAGCTACACGATACCTGCCGACGTTAATTGCAACCGCGGTTACAACAGTAAACACAAACAATCTATTGCGTGGTATTATATGGTAGTCTAAACTATGGCTTTCACCAAAATCTGCAACTTTAGCTTCCAAATCAATTTAACGACTGAAAAAACACCATTCATAATTTTTTCTTCATGAGAGGTAAAACACATCATTTTCTATAAAGCAATAAAATAGTTATAGACGTGGTTATATCATCCAAAAGTCCTGGTAAAAAAATACTCCACCTACTACGCTACAAGAGGGTGTGGGGAGAAGGGCGTAGAAGGCAAAGAGCAGTCATGGCAAGGTCAACAAGGTAGTGGCCGCGGAAGAGGAAAAATACTTAATTAAATTTTTTTTATAAATGTTTGACCATTCATCCAATTTGAATTTTTTAAAATATAAAAATATTTATGTCATGCTTAAAGAACATTCGATGATAAATCAAGTCGCAATAAAATAAATAATAATTATATAAATTTTTTGCATAAGACGAATGGTCAAACGTTATTAAAAAATCAATGATGTCATACTTTAAAATACGGATGGAGTACGGAAATACGATGAACAAATATTTCTATGGAGACAAGGAAGGAAAATCGATGAACATTTGATCGACCAAACCAAATGTTATACACACTTTATTCAAACAAGCCAAGGCCTTGTTCAGGAGGCCCAATTTTCTAGTCCATTCACGTAGAAAGAGGCTGGGAGTAATTCACTTGCCGTCCCTCAACTTTACATCAAGTTTGTTTGACATCCCTTATCTACAATACCAAAATCTTCACCTCTAAACTATACAAAATTGTGCAATTTGGGTTCCATAGCAATATGGATGCAAGATTTCATTGACGTGGTATCCTAATCAGCAAAATAAAAAATAAAATAAATATTTAGGGTCCACATGTCAGCCCCATATGAGAAGAAAAAATGTGTGGCCCATATGTCAGCCCCATCATCTTTCTTCTCTTTTCTTCCCTATCGAGAGAGTGGGGGCGCTAGCGGGAGGGGGAGAGGAGGCCAGCCGCGCCAGCGGGACAGGGGGAAGAGGCGGCCGACGAGACTGGGAGGGAGGGGGAGGCGACAACGTTTACGTAGGCTTGGAGGATGGGCGGCAGCGAGGCAAGCAAGGAGGACGGCGGCGGAGAGTGGGAAGACGAAGCTAGCGATGAGCAACGCAGCGTGTGGGATCGAGGCTGAGACACAAACGAGGTTGGTCGCGCCCAGCGCCACCAAGTTGTGCATCACTAGCTCCATCACCTCGGCTCACGGTGCGGCCACTTGGGGTTTAATGGGGATTTAGCGATTTGGTGAAGGGGAAAGTGAAAGACGACAGGTGGACGACGTGGCAGGGAACTCGGCGAGAAAGAGAGAGGATGGCCGGATGGGTGGGAATATCAACCGTGGGATTCTTGTCAGCCTCCTCTTACATGTGGACCCCACACATTTTTTTTTCTTCTCCCTCCACTTACATGTGGACCCCCCACATATTAATTTTATTTTTATTTCGCTGACTAGGATGCCATGTCCGTGAAACCAGACATTCATACTGCTTTAGGACCCAAATTACATGGTTTTGTATGGTGTAGGGGTGAAGATTTCTGGTATTAGAGATAAGGGATGTCTACAAACTCGACGTAAAGTTGAGGGATGGCAAGTGAACTTTCGCCTGCAGGCTTGGACTTTCGGCTTCCCAAACAGGCCTTGAGTGGTTTTGAATTTGCCCTGTAATTTTGTATTTAGGGAAAATTTTGTGTGTTTTGGCCTTTCGATTATCCAGCAAAATACGTGGAAACAAATTCGAATATGAAATATGGCCCATTAGTGCACTTGAAGCGGCTGAACGTTCCAAGTCAAACTTTCAACTACAGGCTCAAGTGGCCCATTAGTGCGCCATAAATACAAACATTGCCTGCCTATTTTAATTCTTTGCAACAAAACAAACCCATTTGATATATTTCCAATTTGTATATTTCGGGCATGTTCAGATTGTAGTCAAAATAAACCTTATCAAATTTTAGTAAAGTTGTCAAATATGTGCATACATTTAGATTTTTTTACCAAACTCTGATAAATACATAAGAAATACTGCTAAAATTTGGCAATATTATCAAATTACCAAAATTTTGGCATTACCAAAATTTGATAAGGTTTATTTTGGTTACAATATGAACAAGCTCTTCTGTAAAACTTTGAAATGACAATTTATTTTTTAAAATCTTTTGAAAATAAAATAAATATTTCCCTTTCCAATGTTCAGTCAGCCCATCAGACCGAATTTGGGCCCAAAAGGCCCATCTCGGGGAGCCCGATCCGATCCAAACCGAGCAGAGCAGTGCAGTGCACAACCGCCTCCGGAAAATCGTATCCTCCTCCCTGATTAAAAAAAAAAAAAAATCCGCACACCGCTTTCGCTCGTAAAACCCAAATCGCGAGAGAAATTTCCCCACACCCGCTTTCTCCTCTCCCCCCGCCCAACTCGACGCGCGCGCANTGGTCCGCGAAACCCTAGCCGCTCCCGTCGCGGAGCGTCCTCGACGTCCCCGCGCCGACTCCTCCGAGGCCCCGCGCGAGTCCTCTCCGAGCCGCACCACCACAACGNCNACGGGANGCGCGCGGGAGGGGGAGGCGACTCGTCCTCCCGCCGCCGCCGCCGAAGCGGTGGAGCAGTCGAACGACGATTCGCCGCTAACTCCGCGGGGAGGCGCGNCGGGGGGGAGCGGAGGGGGGGCGAAGCGCAAGTCGCGGTGGGCCGAGGAGGAGCCCCGCCCCATCATCGCGCTCCCGGACTTCATGAAGGACTTCGCCGCCGATCTGGACCCGGAGGTGCACAACCTCAACGCGCGCCTCCTCGAGATCTCCCGCATGCTCCAGTCGGGCCTCCCCCTCGACGACCGCCCCGAGGGCGCGCGCTCGCCCTCCCCCGAGCCCGTCTACGACAACCTCGGCATCCGCATCAACACCCGCGAGTACCGCGCCAGGGAGCGCCTCAACCGCGAGCGCCAGGAGATCATTTCCCAGCTCATCCGCCGCAACCCGGCCTTCAAGCCCCCCGCCGATTACCGCCCGCCCAAGCTTCAGAAGAAGCTCTACATCCCCATGAAGGAGTTCCCCGGGTACAACTTCATCGGCCTTATCATCGGCCCGCGCGGTAACACGCAGAAGCGCATGGAGAAGGAGACGGGCGCCAAGATCGTAATCCGAGGGAAGGGCAGCGTCAAGGAAGGGAAGCTGCTTCAGAAGAGGGACATGAAGCCGGATCCCAGCGAGAACGAGGACCTCCATGTGCTTGTTGAGGCTGAGACGCAGGAGGCATTGGACGCCGCCGCGGGTATGGTGGAGAAGCTACTTACCCCGGTGGATGAGGTTCTGAACGAGCACAAGCGGCAGCAGCTGCGGGAGCTCGCGGCACTGAACGGGACAATTAGGGACGATGAATTTTGTAGGACTTGTGGGGAGCCAGGTCACCGGCAGTACGCTTGCCCTAACAGGACGTCAACATTCAATGAGCGAGGTGTCAGTGCAAGATCTGCGGGGATGGCGGGCATCCAACAATTGATTGTCCTGTCAAGGGCACTACTGGGAAGAAAATGGATGATGAGTACCAGAACTTCTTGAATGAGCTTGGGGGGAGCGCCCCTGAGTCGGTGACAAAGTCTAGTGGTCCAATGTTGGCTCTTACAGGGAGCGGCGGGAGTGGTGGCAGCAGCGGCGGCGTTGGTGCTGGTAGTGGTAGTAACCCGCCATGGGCTGCAGGTGGTGGTGCTGCTGCCTCAGGGGCAAATGGGATCAAGAAGGAGTATGATGAGACCAATCTGTACATTGGGTACTTGCCACCTACCCTGGATGATTCAGGGCTGATAGGCCTGTTTTCACAATTTGGAGAGATTGTCATGGCGAAGGTTATCAGAGATCGCATCACTGGGCAGAGCAAAGGATACGGTTTTGTGAAGTATTCGGATGTATCCCAGGCTAACGCGGCAATCGCTGCGATGAACGGTTACCATCTTGAAGGGAGAGTGATTGCTGTTAGAGTTGCAGGAAAGCCGCCACAGCCAGCTGTTCCTCCTGGCCCACCTGCAGTGCCAGCACCACCAACATATCCTCCTGCAGATCCTGCTGCTGGTGGCTACACCTCACAGCCCTACATGGGAGCACCACCGCCACCACCTCCAGGGAGCTATGCTCCAGTTCCTTGGGGGCAACCGCCACCATATGCTTCATACCCTCCGCCGCCACCAGGTTCTAGCATGTACAATCCTCCACCTCCTGCACCAGGCCAAGCTACACCACCTCCATATGGTGTGCAGTATGCACCACCACCAGCTCCAATCCCTCCACCAGGCACTGCTCCATCAACTGATGGGGCGCAGAACTACCCTCCTGGTGTAACACCACCAAGTTCTGGTGCACCTACTCAGCCTGTCCCAGCTCCAGTATATGGAACTTCCGGCGCACCAAATGCGCCACCTATGTACCCTCCACCTCCTTATGGTTATGCCTCTTATTATCCATCGGTGACACCAGTTCAGCCGCCACCACCTCCACCACCTGCTGGCGCTGATCCCTCGCAGAGCCTTGCAAATGCACCGTGGGCAACTCACAGTGCACCACCTCCACCTCCTTCTGGTGCTGATCCGTCGCAGAGCATCGCAAATGCACCCTGGGCAACTCACAGTGCACCACCTCCACCACCAGCTACTGCTGATCACTCACAGAGCATTGCAAGTGCACCTTGGGCCACTCACAATGCACCGCCTCCACCACCACCACCTTCCAGCATTGAGCAGCCTCCTGCTACATATGGTGCTGATGCAGAGTATGATAAGTTTATGTCAGAGATGAAGTGATGTGAGCCAAGATGAAGCAATTCTTCCAACAGTGGAAAAAGGTAACTTGACATTATCCATTTGATACTGCTCATTAATCATATTCAAAATTATTTGGGTCTATTGAAGATAACCTTATGGATGACTGGGAGACCATTCATGTTGTCTATTTCGATAATATTACGGTGAAAGTTTGATTGCTGGACATCCTCTAACATGGAATGCTTGCTCATGCCTTGTAAAGGCACAAATTGGCTGGATTACTTTGTAGTGGCCAGCCTTCATTATATCTAATTTGTTTTAAATACCTTACAGAGTATTTAATCTTTAGGCCACATATGTGAATTGGGATTAATATGTCATCGAACTTAGATCAGAATGATAATACACTGAAGGAAAATTGTTGAGGCGTATACATGAAATTGACCAAGTGTTCACCGTTTATGCAGTGAGGTTTTATTGAAGTTCCATCATTCTGCTTTCCTTTTGGGTAGTAAAGATGCATCATGCTTTTTCATTATGTATTCATCAAACCTTTCAGATATTTTTCCAGTTCCCATGTAGCTTCCTGTGGGGATATGTATTCCCTTCTTATATTTTCACTGAGAACACCTCTAAATAGTATCAATAACTGTGCAAATTGCCTTCCATTGATCTGAAATAGTGTTTTCAGGTTTGTATTTAATCTAGATATATAAAAATATGGCATGTAAATATTTTTTCAATTGTGGCATTGATCCAGCGGTCAAGCATTTACCATGCTTCTATATGTTCAATTTTCTCATGATTAAATGATATTTGGATTTAAGAAAATGTTCCAATACATTGTCTGTGCACTTTCTGTTATCCCTTTATCATCTTTATAGGCCATATGCTCGGACTAACATGTTTGATTTCGTCTCAACTCTTTTGGCAGGCTTAAGGTTTCTTGGAGCTAGTGCCAGAATGATTTATTTCTTGTTGGAAGTTTGGGACTCACATCTTTAACCTTGCTGTGCTGTTATGACCATTGCAGAGGTTTCATGATTATGAAGGACGTTAATGACAGGGCACAGAGGAAACCAGATTATCTGCTCTATCTCCATCTTCGAGAACCATTTTAAGAACCATTTACTGATGCTTTTCTTATCTTAAAATTCTTGTCATTACTTGGCATTTTTCCTGTGATGTCACTTTAATTGTCTGTTGGCTGTGATATAATCTTTATTCTCACTGTTACTGTTTATGTTTTTCTTCACTCTTCAATTTGGTAAGTGCTGGCAGTCCTCTTCATGTGGATACCGGAAAATTTGCGGCCCCATGGTGATTGGTATAACGTGTGAAACATATGCACTATGCTTGTTTCTGTTGAATCTCTTTTAAGTTTTTACATCTTACGCTTTGCCTAAGTTGTTTGGCAGTTTGCTCGTGACAGAGGCAGCCAGAGTTAGTGCTTGCTTCTCAGGTATTGTTGAGATGATATGAATCGTCCACTGTGGAACGTACTAACTTTTGTTTTAATTTGGATTGCTCTCTATATTTTCCACTGACAATCAGTAATATGAGTTTCTTTAATTAATTTGACTTCTTTTCACATTTTCTACTGACAAAGAGTAACAAGTTTCCCCTTTTGATAGTAAAATATATGCATTTGGTATGGAAGCATATCTGCCATGCTGGAAAGTCATCGGTGCAGAGGTTCTGGATATGTTTTTTTTGCCGCTAATGACTCTCTTAACATGTAAATGAATTTCTTTTCCAACTGAACTAGGACATGGCGACGCACAGATCAAGTCATTAGTCTGGAGGCTATGTTCAAGATGCGTACTGCAACAATTATTTATGTGAGCTATTCTGAAGGTTTTAGTTAGCTGAGACTGATTGTAGGTTCTAGGTGTTCCGGGAGTAAAGAAAAGTAGGAGACATAATAAGCTAGTGAAATTTCCTTATATTCTCATTCAGTTGTTTTTAACTTGCATTAGTTAACTGTCCATTGCCATGCAGATATACCATCCAACTGGCTTGTGAAAAAGAGATGCAAAAAAAAAGGAGATTTTAATAGGCTGTTCTCATGTTCTCTTTAAAAGAAAAAGGTTTTGTTTTGAATGTGCTGTAGGGGAATATATACAACGTCAAGAGATGAAAAAATTTTCTGTCTTGCATCTGTGATTTTTTGTTGCGAAGATTAGCACTCTCTTGTTAATTGTTATACTAGTTATAGGATGGTTTATTTGGTGAATATGTTTTTATTGTCTAAAGAAACTAGTAACTATAGGATTGTTGATTGGTGAGTACGTTTTTATTATCTCAAGAAATGCATGTAGCCCATGTAGGTTTGCTTCTCTATGCTTTGATGTGACAAACACCACCTTGCAGCGTTGACCACCCCAACTTTGCACACATTGTTGTGGGTATTTGGCTTTTCTTGCTTGGATGTTGGAAATAGTGTTGCCTAGGCACATACACCTGTGTTGAAAACTTGGAATCCACTCGGATTGGCCTGTCTGATTCAACACGAAAAAACTGGATGCATGATAAACTGCTATTAGGAATTTGACATGGGTGATGAAGTTTGTCAAACTAATTTTGGGGACAGGTTTTTGTGTAACACTAGTTGTTACGTGAATTGCACCTTATTTGCATTTCTTATTGCTTTATTTAATCTTTATGGGACTATGGGTATTGTCAAGCCAAATATGGAAGACTTCTTATAGATCCTGAACCAAGCATGCTCAACTGTCATGCGTACTAGCCGCTCTACTTGGTCTATTTATTCTTTGTTCACACAGGTTGATCGAGGATGCATTGATATATTTCGTCCTGGTTTCTTTGGACCAGGTTTAGCACGTTCTTTATAGTATGTACTAACTGAAAAGAAAATGGAACATTCAGATTTTGTGATGTCGAATTTCTTTAAGACTGCCAAAATTTAGTGCTAAGGAAGCGACAATCTTCGCCCCTTAGGGTGTTGCATGTTAGTGTTTTGGCCTTAGTTGGCTTTATTTGTGAAGCTTTGCAAATTCATTGCTTTATTTTGCTGTTTGGTGGGAGTAAGGTGGCATATTGCTAGTCATTGCTTTATTTCTGCTATTTTTATGCATTTGTTCGTTAGACATATCTGAAGACTACTAATTTGGAAGGTTGTCTCATGCTTGTCTTTTAGTTTGGTGGCATTCCATATGTTAGTTTATTGCATAAAGGTCCACTTTGCCACAAACTTGTAGACTCGTGTCCAACCACTTGAACCACGTATTATTGTTTGGCTGTTTATTTATTGGTATTAGGTCGTTGGTATTTAGTATTTGTTTTGACATCTGCATTGTTGAAAGCTTCAAACATAATTCCTCATGTAAGCACAAGCATTTTGTGTTTGAAATTTGTTTACAAATATAAAGCATTTCTAGAGTGCTATATTTTCTAAAACTCGTGTGAATGCTTACATTTATGATGGATTCTAAAATTAGTAGGAACGCATATATGTTTATGGACTGATTCTAAAAATCATAGGAGTGCTATATATACACACGGAGAGAGAAGTCCTGATAGGAGAATTGATAGGAAAATGGTGTGGTACACTGTTGCGGCAATGCGTCTAATAATAAAAATAATTTATGATGTTGCATTCCTGCGTCTGAATCTCGTTCAAAAAGTAAAGGAAAAAAAGTAAAGGGGAAAAAAAGGGAAAGAGTGCAAAGTTCTTCACCTGATGTTGCCAAAGAGTCGAAAAATGATGTTCGTACCAATACGGTCCGGTGCTACAGGCACTCTAACGGCAGTTTTCGGGTTTGGACATTAAGCGTTTACACCCATACTGCTTTGTTTGCGCGCGCGCTCTCTCTCTAATTTTTTTTTTTGAAACTCTCTTACGCGCTTCTGAATGGTAGGGGCCTTGCAAAAAGAAAATGCACAATTGTGTTTAGTTTATCGGCTAGCTTAAACCGTTTGCTCGCTTAATTTAAGAGAAATTCGGCCAAAGGGTATGGGTAGCTCTTCTACGGTCAGCTGCAATGGGGACCGTCTCGCGGACGGCATGATATCGGTATATCATGCTAGGGCCTGTTCGGCAGGCCAACTGCGGCGGCTGCAACTACGCACAGTGAGTGCGGCATTGTTCGCGCTGGCTGTGCTGCGCCGCAGCCCCGGTAGCCGAACATGCCCTATATTCCGTTTCTAATAGACTGTTCACATAATTATGGACGTGCACATAGATTATCTTATTTAATTATAGAGAGAAATTAACTTAAACGGTGCATGTAATACAGTAGAAGAAGAAAGCTATTTAAGAAAATTGTATTTCTAGAGAAGAGTGGAGCATCAATACGGTGAATAAGCTGACGAGAAGAAAGTAATCTTTAATGGTCAAACTGTCAATTTTGAATTTTGGAATTAATTCAGGTTTGCGGATCAGGTAGGATGTGTTAGACCCATCTTCGTTTTTTTGAGATGAGATGGTCCAACTATTTGTTTCTTATGTTATTGGGTCCATGCCATTACAAATATGCCGATTCAAATAAATACCATTACAATTCATCTATTTGTATCAATATCATTTGAATTCGTGCAAAATTAAAATCATGCCATCGCCATTATGTTTTCTGTAATCATAAAGATCAAAATAGATCAAAATATCCCTAAATGTGAAACTCACTTGTTAGTTTCATATTCTTCCTCCATTCTCCCCTTTCTCTCACTTCCCGGCTAAGCCAAATGTGGTGGGCGGCAAGGACCTCTTCCCCAGGGTCTGCTCTCTTGCAATGAGGCTGCCGAGTGCTGCGCTTGCAGACCTTGCTGCCGTTGGGGAGAGAGAAGAGAGAGCGAAGAAAAAAATTGGGGGAGGAAGATGGAAAACATAATGGCGAAGGCATGGTTACAATTTTGTGAGAATTCAATGGTATGGATACAAATAAATGAATTGCAATGGCATTTATCTAAATCGGCATATCTACAATAGTATGGATCCAATTAACCCTTGTTTGTTTGACATGAGAGATAGATATTTTTTTTGAGTGATCAGATAGCTAGGATCTTACACAAATGAGATATTTAACAATTTTTCACTCCTACAAGTGGCAATTAAGAATTTACCATTGGATCTACATGTCTGACACATGAGGACCCACATGTCATAAATTGTGAGTGATAAATTATTAATTTTGACATCTTAAAAGTGACAAAAAGTTAAATACCCTGGAGAGAATATCCCTATCAACAAGGGTGATCCATGTCACATTGTCTTCTAATCAAACACTCCTAAAAGTGGGCTCATTCCATTTCATCCCACTCTATATGATAAACCAAAGGTGATTGGTTGAAAATGTATGGAGTATTCCGATTGGTACAAAATGTATGGGTTTTTATAAATTGAAATTAGCGTCTTAGAAACTCTTATTTCTTCTGTCCCAAAATATAGCTACCTAGAACATGATGTGAAATTACCTATTTTTATGAATTTAGACAGTCTTATCCAGATTCGTAGTACTAGGTAATATCACGTTCTATCCTAGGTAATATGTTATTATATAAACTTTAAATTCTTCAATAACTATTTTTGGGGATAGATTGATTGGTTGAAAATGTATGGATTTTTATACACTGGAATTAGTGTGTCAGAAATCTTTATATTATTCTATAAACTTTAAATTCTATAAAAATAATTATATTTTACATGTTTTAAACCTGAATGAATTGATTAGTGCATTGACATCGCCCCGGGCGGGCCATGCTTCCAAACCTCGAAAGTTCCTTCAGCAAATTAATTCCTTGTTCTAAAAAAAATCCTGGTTTTTCTTTTCATTGCTGGAGTAGTTACACATAATATAACACACCGTCTTCACCAGAATCAATTCGACGACCAAATCGGAGCCCGGTCACCGCCGGACGACGAAAAGTCTCTCTTGGTGCATGATTGCATTTGTTTTGTGCGGGTGGCAATCCATCAAATCTTGTTTCGTTCTATTCTATTACTGTTTGCTGGCCCCAGTCCTCTCCCAAGTTGGTTGCAGTCGTGCAGACCGTCGACCATTTGCTAAGAAAATGATCAATTTGAGCCATGTGACGAAGACCAGAGATCGATCAGGTTTGATGCCATCTTGACCAAGTCACTTCATGTCAGGTTGGGTGTAGTAACTAAACTTGGACTAGTGTAGATCAATAGTTTTCTTTCCATTCCATGGTGACTGATCTTGCCGTCTCGGCCGCGGCACACACACCTCCTCTCTCCCTCGCCGGAACGGCAGCCAGGGTGGCCGCGGCTAATCGTAGCGATGTCCACAATTACGAAGCTTTCAACGTAATTTTGGACATCAGGATTTAAACATTGTAACTTCACTACCACACCGCTGGACAGACATATTTCTCTTCATGTCTAAACATTGTAACTTCACTACCACACCGCTGGATAGACATATCTCTCTTCATGTCTGCGAGGTGTGTGTGGTAGCAACTACTCGCTTTATCGGACACATAATATACTTGAGCTATTGAGCATAATTATGGGTATCGCGGTTTTTAATTCCACTATCACATATGATCCCTCCGTATCTACATACGGCTCGATTTGAAATAGATGCTCGATTTGAAATAGATGGTTGATGTGTATACCTCGTCTGAACGGGTATCACTGATACCTACAAGATATCAGACGATAACTTAGAGGTATCATTATGTCCGAACGGGATAACATTGTTTTTCTATTTTTTGAAGCGTGAAGTGAATAAGTAAATAATAATCTGATAAGTAATCTCGAAAGAAGTACCGTAACGGGGACAGGAGAAGTTAAACAGAAGTCGCGGCCAGCACGTCATCCAATTAACCGCGTCGGCGTCGTCGTCGGAGGTTAATTAACCTGCCATGCTCCGCATGCACCTCCTCTAGCCGCCGCCGCCGCTTTGTGAACCACGTGCGCGTGCAAGTAGGCAACATGTCGGCCGGCCGGCCGGACGACATGTGCTGGCGGCGGCGTCGGCGGCGGCGGTGACAGGAGGGAAGAATTAATCCGGCTGGGTG